TTAGTGTCCAAAAACCGAGGAAACATCTGAAGAATGTTTGCTGATTCTTGTGGGTCATGGAGTATCTGCTGACGATAGTAGAATGTCTCTCTCATCTTCTGGAAGACTATATCTTGGTCAGTGGTGTGATGAAGAAGAGACATGGCTTCCATACATTGATCTCTTGTTTGCTGGTCATTAGTGAAACCAAACTTCCTTCGTGATGTGGGCCCTCCTTTCAGTTCCACTCTGTTCTGTGATGCAGTGGGGGATTTGGATTGACATCGCACAGTCTTGATACGCCACTCAAGAAAACCTTTGTTGCTCTGAATGTCATAGAAATGCTCCTACAGAAAGAAAGAAATTGCATACATTGTAGAGTGTGTATATATATTTATATATGTGTGTAGGGAGAGAGACAGAGAGAGAGAGAGCAAGTCTTATTACACACTACAGTTGCAGAGCAAACTCACATATCCCTTTTTGGAGTACGGATCCTTCAAAGATGGGAAGAGTGACACGATTCCAAGTGCATGAAACTCCTTCGTTGCTTTACTTACAGTTCTCCTGCAAAAGCAGAAGTGTTTTTGATAAGATCCTTGCCAGTTTTAAAAATGAATAGAATAAACATCATTCCTCTTACCCTTCCTTTTCACGCATGTGAGCTACAATGATGTTCACCATTAATCGCCTGGTGGAATCTTTCAAACTCCCAGTTTTTTCATACTCATGGATGACAGTCACCCCTGCTGGTTTGGAAGTCAGAATCTGCTCCACTGTATAAACACATTTAATACAAAGAACAAAAAAATTGACAAAAAATGAGACTATTTTAACCCAAACAACGATTTCAATCTGTGGATTATACATATGAACTACATGAAATACTATATCAAATTATTTTTCTCTAATTTGTTTTATCTTCGTGTTTAAGCTTTTTCAAGTAATGACAACTAAAGAGTCAAATACAAGTCTATTAAGTAATGTATCTACATTTCTTGCATGTATGCTGTCCAATAGAGGCTGAACCATTTGAAATCCGGCATCGCGTGTGTCACTGCTCTGACTGCTGGTGGTTGAGACAGACAATGTATCTGTTAGACTTGGAGAGGAGGGCTCTTCCACATGTTGCTTCAGGACAGTCAAATCTGAGGGTGACAAACAAAAATATTACAATATAAGGCATATACAATCAAAAATCAACCACAACAAAGCTACCATTTACGCACATAGGGCCAGTAAATTGTATGTCATCCATCCATCCATCCATCGTCATCCGCTTTATCCGAGGCCGGGTCACGGGGGCAGCAGCCTAAGCAAAGAGGCCCAG